ATGGACCCCCCCCCCCCCCGCTGACCCGTATGGATGCCGATGCGCAGCCGGAGCTGCTGCTGCGGCCGGTGGCGGATGCGGAAGGACCGGACAGCATCCAGCAATGCCAGAGCCATGCGAGCCACCTCGCGTGCGTGCAGCTTCCCATTGCGCACCGGCAGCCCCGACACCACCATGTAGGCATCCCCGATGGTCTCCACCTGGAGGGACATCGCCGGGGGGGGGGATGCGATGTGAGGTCATCGCCATCCCAGAGGAGGGGGGGGACGATGACGACGACCCCGCGTCCCCACCTTGTAGACGTCGAAGTTGTCGATGATGGCGTCGAAGCAGGTGTAGAGGTCGTTGAGCAGTGTCACCACCTGCATCGGGGTGCTCTCGGCCGACAGCGCCGTGAAGCCCACGATGTCGCTGAAGTAGATGGTGACGCTGTCAAACGCCTCCGCCTGCACCGTCTCCCCACGCTTCAGCTGCTCCGCCACCGAGCTGGGGACATGGGGAGGTGGGTGAGGGGGGATGCGGTCCCTCTGGATGTCCCCAACACCACACATCATGCTGTGCTCCTGGGGGTCTCCATCGCTGGGAGACCCATCGTTGGGTTGGGCGTCCTTTGGGCACCCCAACCTGTAGGGGGGTCCTTGGGATTCGCAGTCCCTCTGATCACCCCACCCCATCGCGGGGTTCCCCGGGTCTCCCAGCCCCTCCGCATGGCTCCAGCCATGCAGAGCACACCCAGCAGGAGGAAGGAAGGGGTTGCTGGTTTTGGGGTGGGGGTTATGGGGGTTGGGCCCCCGGTGCTCACTGGGGAAGGATTTGGTAGAGCAGAGCCTCAGCCTTGCGCTTCTCCTCCAGGTAAGCCTGGGTGCGCTCCTCCACCAGCTCCTCCAGGTTGTTGGCGTACTGCTCCATGCGTGACAGCAGGTTGTCCAGGATGTTGCTGCTGCTCTCCCTGCAGCAGAGGGGTCAGTGGTTGCGTGGGGACGTTTGGGGGCTCCTCCTGTGGGGCGGTGGGAGGTGGAGGCACCTGTTGAACTTGCGGAGCTGGACCTTGATCTGGTTGAAGTCGGGGCGCTCCAGGACGTCCTCGGCCCAGCAGTGCTGCATGAGCTGGCCCAGCTCCTCCATGTGGCACCCCACGTTGGCCGAGGGGCGGAAGCTGGGGCGCTCCCCACTCTTCACCCGCTCGATGATCTCTGCAGAGATGAGCACCCATCAGTAGGTCCAATAACCCAACAAGTCCAAGAACCCAACAGCGGCTCCAACAATAAACCCAAACAGCAGATCCATGAACCCGACAGTGCCTCCAAGAATCCAACAGCCTGTCCAAGAACCCAACAGCACATCTAAGAACCCAGCAATAGGTTTAAGAACCCAACAGCACATCCAAAAACCCAGCAGCCCATCCATGAGCCCGACAACCCATCCAAGAACCCAACAATAGGTTTAAGAACCCAACGGCCCATTCAAGAATCCAGTAGCCCATCCATGAGCCCAACAGCCCATCCAAGAACCCAATAACCCTTCCACAGACCTAACAGCCCATCCAAGAACCCAACAATAGGTTTAAGAGCCCAACAGCCCTTTCAAGAACCCAATAGCCCATCCATGAGCCCAACAGTGAGTCCAAGAACCCAATAGCCCATCCAAGAACGCAACAGCCCATCCAAGAACCCAATAATCCTACCAAAGACCCAACAGCCCTTTCAAGAACCCAACAATAGGTTTAAGAACCCAACATCCCTTTCAAGAACCCAATAGCCCATCCATGAGCCCAACAGTGAGTCCAAGAACCCAATAGCCCATCCAAGAAAGCAACAGCCCTTCCAAGAACCCAATAATCCTACCAAAGACCCAACAGCCCTTCCAAGAAGCCAACAGCCCATCCAAGAAGCCAACAGCCCTTCCAAGAAGCCAACAGCCCTTCCAAGAAGCCAACAGCCCTTCCAAGAACCCAATAATCCTACCAAAGACCCAACAGCCCATCCAAAAACCCAACAATAGGTTTAAGAACCCAACAGTCCTTTCAAGAACCCAATAGCCCATCCATGAGCCCAACAGTGAGTCCAAGAACCCAATAGCCCATCCAAGAACGCAACAGCCCATCCAACAAGCCAACAGCCCATCCAAGAACCCAACAGTAGGTTTAAGAACCCAACAGCCCATCCAAGAACCCACCACTGGGTCAAAGCCCCCAGCCCAGCCCGTCCCAGGCGATGCCCCCACCTCCCCCTCACCTTTGGGGCTCAGGTCCATTCCCTCCACGTAGAAGACGCCGTTGCGCAGCGCGATCTCTTGCAGGATGATGCCAAAGCTGTACACATCACCCTTCTGCGTGCCGCGGGCCGGCGGTACCTCCATCCTCAGCAGCTCCGGCGCCGTCCACAGCTTCTCTGCGGCACCAGGACGGGGTCAGCCGGGCAGGGACGTCGGGGACGGAGCGCGGGGCTCAGCGGGACGGGGCTCACTGGCAAAGAGCGCGTGGGAATCGTCGCCGTCTGGAGCCACGCGGAAGCTCTCCAGCCCGTAGTCGGTGATCTTCAGCACGAAGCGGCTGTCCACCACGCAGTTGGAGGACTTGAGGTTGCCGTGGGACATGATGACGCCGTTGTGCAGGAACTGCATCCCCTGGCAGGGTGGGGTGGGGGGGTTGGACACGGTCCCCCACCCCCCCCCACAGTTGGAATGGGGTTCTTCGTGGGAACCGGCTCGTTACCTTAACGATGTCAAGAGTGAGGGAGTAGCGGAACATCCAGTCCAGAGTGATGCTCTCGTTCTCCAGGATGTCCTGTGGATGCAGGGAGGGCACAGCGCTGTCCCCCCACCCCAGGGCCACCATGCACCCAACACGGGGTGGGCTGTGTGCAATGGGTCCCCCCAGGGTGCAGGGACCCCCCGGCACCTGCAGGCTCCCCCGCGGGCAGTACTCAGTCAGGATGCAGATGTTTGGGGGATCGGTGCAGGCGCCGATGAAGCGCGTCAGGTGTTCGTTTTGGACATCTCGCATCTGAGGGGCAGCAAAGTGTGGGGCTCTGCCCCACTGCGGGGACCCCCAGCCCTCCCCAGCCCCACCTACGTGCTTCAGCTCGAACAGGACCTTGCGCGTCAGCTCGATCCGCTTGCGGTTGAGGTGCTTGATGGCCACCAGGTTGCCCTGGGGACAGGAGGGGCGGTGGGTGCCCTCTGGGGTGGGGTCCCCAGCCCCACTCCCGTGTCCCCATACCTTGTAATACGCCGTCTTGGCGTAGACTTGGAACTGCCCCTCTGCTGTCATCAGCGAGCCGTAGTTGGAGCCCCTCTGGGGGGGAAGGACGTGGGATGAGCTCATCCCCACCCCACCCCCACCCCATCCCCACTCCATCCCATCCCGTTCCCACCGCAGGGGGTGCAGCAGACACCCACCAGGGACAAGGTGAGCTTGCTGCCGGCGCTGCGCAGATGCTTCTCCATGCTGCTCATCTGCAGGTCCTCCCAGCGCACGCGCCACAACTCGGCCGCCAGCTCCTTCTCCAGCTGCAGCTTCCTGCACCCAACCACAGGGTGAGACCCCCCACGGGTCCCCCCTCGCCCCTCCTCCACCCCCAGCCACCCCCTCCCCACGTCCCACCTGTAGATGAAGAAGGAGATGACGGTGATGGCCAGCAGGACGAGGCTGAGCGCCAGGGACAGCACCTCCAACGTGCTCAGGTTGGCTGTAGGGTGAGAGGGGGGTGGTGAGGGGCTGTGGGCCCCCCTGGGTCGTACCCCCACCCATCCACTGCTCACCCTTGCGGCACTGTGGGTCACTGTGGTCAAAGCCACAGGGGGGGACGTCGGAGGGGACGGTGTTCCCTGGCCAATGGATGTCACGTCCCGGTACCATATGGAGCTCCTTGGTGGTGCCGTTGTAGTTGGCCACAATCTGGGTGGGATGGAGGGGGGGGGGAAAGAGGGGGGGTTCAGAACATCCCTGTGGGGCTGTGGGGTGTCCCTGTCCCAGTGCAGCTCCCACCTGGAAGTCCCCACTCGTGGGGTCCATGTCCCATAGTGTGTAGTCGCTCTCCCGGTCCCCGTTCTCATCAATCCTCAGGAACCCGGTGACGCCTGGGGATGAATGAGGGGTTTGGGGGGGGGGCTGGAGACCCCAGAATGGGGAGAGTGGTGATGGGGGCAGCGGCTCTGTGTGCCCTGTGGGGGCACAGCCTCGTCCTGCTTAGTCTGACCCCAAAACACCCACCTGGGAGTGGGGCCGTGGGGTGGCAGTAAGTCCTGTGGGATGGGGAGGGGATGGGATGGGGGTGGAGGTGGAGATGGAACAGGGATGGGAATGGAGATGAAGGTGGGGATTTGGATGGATTGGGGATGAGATGGGATGGGGATGGGGATGGGATGGGATGGGATGGGATGGGGATGGGATGGACACCCACCATAGAAGGTGCGGTTCCACATCTGCTGGGTGATGGCGGAGGCGTTGGTGACAGAGCCGCCGCGCTGCAGGGTCTCATTGATGGCGTGAGCGTAGAGCAAAACCCCGTCGTGGAAGGCGGCCGCGATGAAGTTCATCTGAGGGCACAGAGCGGGGTGGGAACGGCGGCCCCTCATCCCCAACAGCCCCACATCTCCGTGTGCCACCACCCCCAGCAGCCTGGCTCCGTCCTGCGTCCCGTCCCAGCAGCGCCAGCTCCATCCCGTGTCCTCTCATCCCAATGTTCCCATCTCTATCCCATGCCCTCAGTGTCCCTCACACCAGTGTCCCCAGCTCCATTCCACATCCCCTCACTCCAATGTCCCCAGCTCCATCCCATATCATCAGTGTCCCTCATCATCAGTGTCCCCATCTCCATCCCATGTCCTCAGTGTCGCCAGTTCCATCCATGTCCCCTCATCCCAATGTCCCCAGCTCCATCCCGTATCCTCAGTCCCCACATCTCCCAATGTCTCCACTTCTATCCCATGTCCTCAGCGTCCCCAGCTCCATCCCACATCCCCTCATCCAATGTCCCCATCTCCATCCCATATCCTCAGTGGCCCCAGTTCCATCCATGTCCCCTCATCCCAAAGTCCCCACCTCTACCCCATGTCATCAGTGTCCCTCACCCCAATGCCTCCAGCTCCATCCCATATCATCAGTGCCCCTCATCCCAACGTCCCCATCCCCATCCCACGTCCCCTCACCCCAACGTCCCCATCTCTATCCCAAGTCCTCAGCGTCCCCATCCCCATCCCACGTCCCCTCACCCCAACGTCCCCAGCTCCACCCCGTGTCCCCGCCCCGTCCCTGTGTCCCCACTCCTCACCAGTCCGTCCTTCATGGTGAAGTTGAAGTGGGTCAGCGCCTCCTCCTTCAGCCGCGCCACGAAGGGTCGGTACTCGGGGTTCTCGGGCTCTTTGTAGGTGATGATGGTGACGGCCTGGGGGTGGGGGTGGAAGGGACATGGGGGGGCTGGCAGCGGTTCGGCCCACGGAGGGTCCCCGAGCCCCGGGCAGGGCTGGCTTCGTGCCGCCCTTATTAATAGCAGCAGGCACCGCTGGGACCTGGGGAAATGAATGTCGCTTCCTTCCTCCAACAGAGCTGCCAGCAGTGAGCAGGGGGTGGGCAGAGGGGGGGAAAGAAGGGGGGGGCAGCGCCGGTGGGAGAGGATTTGCACGTGGGTGTGCGCCCGGGGCTGCTTCACCCGTGGGGGGGTGCCGAGATTTGGGGATGGGGGTCCGCCGCCCACCTGGAAGGCCTCCCGGGCGCTGTCGTCGTGGCGGTCCCCGCGCTTCCAGGGTCGTTGGGGGTCGGGGAATCGCCCCCCCCCCTGCAGGCTGGCCCCGAAGATGTCGATGTAGAAGAAGGCGAAATCTCCTCGCGTCAGCCCCTCTCGCCACGCCTGCAGCATCAACTCCCGCAACGTGTCCGGAGCGCAGCACACGTACACCACTGCGGGGCGGTGGGTCACGGCACGGCCACCCCCGGGGTGCGAGCCCAATGGGGGCGGTGAACTTCCCCCCCCAGACCCCCCCAGATTTACCGCTAACAACGGTTACAAACGCGCGGTGCCCACCCGCGCTGCACCCCGCCCGATGTGCGCTACAGCCCCGGTGGGACCGGAGGGGGACACTGAGGGGTCGCTGCCCGCCGCTCCCC